GTGTCACTGGTGGAGACAAGAAGACACAGGGACAAGAGTTTCACCCCCAAAGGCAAGCCGTCTTTCCCCACACTGATGTACATACTTGTGTCTACAGCTATATATTCTTACGCTGCCTGCCAGGATGTGGCTGATTTTCTGACGAACATCCAGAATTGTGGGTATAACTGTCTCTTTCAGAAAAGAATTCCTGAAAATGCAAGACACAGCCCTTCTAGACACCATTAAGACCTAAAGGCCACGCACACCAGCATCTGCAAGTCCTCTGTGGCCTGGGGAGAGGGGTAGGCCTTTCAGAGAGAAACCAAACCCCAGCATTCTGAAACAAGGCTCCCTCCTGTGGCCGCCCACTGCGGAACTCCAGACGAGCCCACAGTCACGCAGGAAGAGAGGCAATTCCACCTTACGCAACCAGGTATATGCAACCCTGTCCATTTGCTTGTGAAACTGAACATTTGCAGTAGGAGTGAATGATAGTAACATTCTTCCCCTCCATTGTGGCAGTGTGTCCCTCAAGAAAAACTCGTTAACCCCAGGCAGTGAGCAAATACCTAGGTCTGTCCCATAAAGCCATACCAAACAGCCTCGGGCCAGCCCTCCAGACCTTTCCCACAATACCAGCACAGGACAATGGCATGTTGAAGACTCCTGGGGAGGAGGGGATACCTACACTTAAATCCCAGGGCGTGTCCCTGTCTGTCTCTGTGTCTCAGTTTTCCCACATTGAAATGGAGGTGAGAAGAGATAGCCCTACCTGGCAGGACTGTGTTAAAGAATTCAATCCGGAAACACCAGTTCAAAAGGACCTACGCACCCCTGTGTCCCTAGCAGCGTTATTTACAACAGCTAAATGCTGGAGACAGCCTAGGTGCCCATCCATCCATGTGTGGACCAAAAAACCGTGGTTCATTTACACAATGGAATACTACGCAGCAGAAAGACACAAAGAACGCCTACCGTTTGTGACAGCAAGGATGGACCCGGGGAACATTTTGCTAAGTGACATAAGCCAGGCAGCAAAAGACAAACATCATATGATCTCATCTGTAAGAGGAACCTAATGAACGAAGCAAACAAATGAGCCAAACAGAACCGGAGGCATGGAAACAAGGAACAGGCTGATGGGGACCAGAGGAGGGGAAGGCGGAGGGGGAGGGAGGGAGGTAGGGGTGGAAAAATGGGGAAGGGACTAATCACGGAACCTGTATGAATGACTCATGGACATGGACAACAGAGTGGGGACTGATTGTGGGAGTGGGTGGGGTTGTGTGGGAAGTGGGGAGCAACTGGGGGAAAATTGGGACGCCTGTGATAGAACAATGACTTTCAAAGAAAATAAAATACAGAAATAAAAATTTTGAAAGTTAATTCTTAGCACAATGTACTACGGCCCAGTAAATGTCAGCAATATTAATATGAATTATAATTATAATATGGCTGTGATCTATCAGCCCTCATAGGAACTTCTTCTCCTCGTTGAGAAGAGCAGTTTTCATACTGTAGCTCCAGGAGCATCTGCAAGGCTTCCTAGAACTCAGACTGCTGTGAACCAGAGCCTAGGACAGAGGACCCTCCGTACATGCTGCCTGATGGGATGAACACTGAGAGAGCCAAAGGTATCCCTGGACAACCAAGCAAACCAGAGACCAGATTGGGGGCCTTCAAGCTCAGAACTGTTCAAAGACATGAAGTAAGCCCGGGGCCCTCCCACCCAGCTAGAGGGCTCTTCTGAGTCCCAGAGACCATGAGCTCTTTGGCTCCAACCGACAACTGTCCCTTTCCGTCTTTAAAGGTAATGGAGCTCAGCTTCTGGCCTCTTGCTGGCACAGGTCCTACTGCTGCGACAGGCTGCTGGGAGATGCTGAGTGTTCTCAGGGACAGGGGAGCCGCCGGGCTGCAATCAGGAAGCCGTGCTGTGTAAGCATTTCTTATAAATGGCCCAAATCGCTCTCAGCAGAGGCAGAACTCTCCAGCAAATTGTGGTCACGTCTTTTTCTCATTCTCCATACGTATTCGCTTTGATCACTCATTTTGTATTATTGTTCTTCAAGAGGATTCCAAATTTGCTTGCCTTTTTTAAAAAATTTTTTTTTCTATTGCTGACCTTTTTGGTCTTACAAAATCTGGACCTGTCCCTGCACTCTGCGCCTTGACCTTTCAGCTTTTCCAAGGTTTTCTGCCATTTATCACCCAACCTGCCCTCCAATGAATGGCAGCATCTTAAGGCCGACCACACCTTTATACACACCTTCTGGGCAGGATTACACAAGCTTCTAAAAAGGAGTTCAAGGTGTGTTATCAGTGTCACGGTCAAAAGCAAGCAAGTGCCAGGCAGAATATCCTGTCTGGTCTTCCCAACACAGGCTTTAGAAAGACCTTCTTCAACACAACACACTTTCATCGACTCCTTGTGTGAATTCAAATATGAAACCCCCCAATTTTCGTGTGTTGTCACCAGTGATTATAAGGAAGGATTGAAGAAAAGCAAGGGTTCTCCATGTTAGGAAATAGGAATTAGAATTCTAAGCACTCGTTTATTCTCACCCCATGTAGGATAACAATTTTAATATGAAAATCATTTTTTGTGGTTTACACATAGTTAAAGAAACTGTCAGTTTAGTTGTTACGGTTCCTTTACTCAAAGACGAAGTTAGGAATTTTAGGATTTCTTTCCAAAGAAGTTGCAGTGCTCCACACTTCCAGAGATAGATTTAAGGGAAAGCAGATATATCTTTTAAAGTAAATATTAGCTGTATTTATTCATAGGTGATTACAGATTTCTACACCAACACGCAGTCCTTTCTAGGGGACAACACCGTCCTCTATTTACCTGGAAGCAATGGGATCCATTTATATTGAATTATATACTGAGTTTCTATACTGAATCATACAAATCACATAAATCAAGCCGAATTATATGAAGCACATGAATAATATGAAAATTAACTGTGACTTCCATGTATAATGCATAAGGCATACATGTCCAGTTTCACTTATTTGCCTCATTTGGATATATTAGGCCCTTAAAAATATGTTAAGAAAGACACAGAAAAAAAAATTCACATTTTAAAAATAGCTGTTCATCGTCTTGCCCCAGATTGGCCCCGGTTTAACCACACAAGTAGAGTGAAAACAGTGCTCATTTCACTCCCAGCAGCCGCTTGAACTCCCGGGATGTGGACGGGTTATGAACGTGAATTTGAATTCTTATTTCCACAAAGCCGTCCAGGTCTCACGGCAGCATGGCATGGGGGAGGGGCAAGGTTCTACAGTCAGAAATGTCCCCCATCCGATTCCCAGGTCCCCCGTAACCTTCAGCAAAGTGCCAGATGCTTCCCTGCCTCAGTTCCCCCACCCCCACCCCTGGCAGAGGGGGAGTGATGTCTAATGTCTACTTTGCATATTTATACAACTAGATAGGTGCTCAGCGCGAACCCTCGGCCAAGAGTTGAATCTTAGCAACCTTATTTTAAGGGTGGTTTTGATAAGCCTTGTCGCTCCCAAAGACAGACCGGGCTAATGACATTCTTCTTAGATTCACGCTCTCCCTGCCTTCACATGCTTATTACCAGAGATTAAGGAGGCGGCGCCAAAGCAAAAGTACAATGTGCCACTGGTCTCCCTCTAAACATCTACCAGCGAGGAAGAAGTGCCCTAAAACTCGCCTTTGTGTCAACACCTGTGCACACCTGTGCACACCAGCCTGGCTCGCCGGGAGTCCTTCCTTAACAGGCGGACAATAAATATTTGTTAACCTGAAAGGCTGCTGAGCCCAGTGAAAATGAATGCTAATGGCAATCATAATCCGCAGCGCTGTTTGCGCTTCCGTGCGTCACGGAGGCGGGTTTCCTAAGGTCCCAAAGCTTCCCTGGGAAGCTGTTGGGTAACTGGACGTGCCCGCTGCAGAGGTCCCTTCCTGGGCACACTCACGAAGCATCCGGACGCGGCTGAAACCCTCGGACGTGGCACGGAAGGTCGTTCGCGGAGGGTTCTAACCCAGTTTAGAGAAAAGTGGCCTCTGGTAAAAGCCATCAGCGCACTGTTTGCTTAACAAAGGGACAGCGCGCGGAGCAACTAATTGCGGAAGCAATTTCTTCTCAACTTTACCACTATCACGTTTTTTTTTTTTCTCTTCCTTTTCAGTGTGATGAGACACTGGACCCTACGCCACTGTAAGGCGTTCTGCTCTCCTGCGGCTGAGCAAAGGTCTGGTAGGTAGGATATCAAAGTGCAATCTCCGGGTCCCCACGAAGGGACCGCATCAGATCCCACCCAAGTGAGGGCTGACCTCTGCAGAGAATCCTGGCAGTGGCGGTGCCGTGACTAACTCCCCTGCGCCCGAGGAGACCCAATGTGTCCTATCAAACGCAAAGAAATTAGAGGCAGGTCACCGCCCCCGCCCCCCGACACACACACCCTACCCGGAGCGCTCCTGGCACCCCACACCTGTGGTTTCTGCCTCCTGGCTTCAGTACAGTGACCCCTGAACAAGCAGCTCTCGGGTAATAGCTGCTCTGACTTCCCTCCCTGGTCTCCAACTCCCCACTTCGGTCGAGCAGAAGCCCACCCACAGGAAAGAGCAGGGAGCAACCCGGTGCGCGCCGGCGCACACTGCCAGGTAAACCCGGCACCACCCTCACCTGTCCGAGGCTGCGGCCGGAGGGCTGCAAAGGGGACCGCCGTGCGTCCCTCACGTGCGCGGGACCAACAGCCAACGTAGCCACCGCTGGCCCGCTCGGGGAGCAACTCAGACGAGGTAGGGGCGGGGGCTCCGCCGGGGCCGCCCCACTTCCTTGCCCCCCCTCCCCTCGCACGCGAGCCCCGCCTTCAAGGGGAGGAGGCGGCACCGTGCGTCACCTTGGGGAGGCCAGACCAAGCGCGGGCGCTGTAACTAGTCCGGCTGATGCAAGAAGGCGTCGGTGCGCGATTCTGGGAACTTCGCTGTGGAAAGAGAAAGAGGTTACAGTAGCTCATTTTAGCTTGGGCTGGCTCCGGGGAAAAGGCAGATGTGCCCCAGAAGTCTGGCAGTGGTGGGGAGAGTTGAGTTCCCTCGCGTTTTAGTTCACAACGGGAAAGAAGGCAAGGGTGGCTTGCTGACTTAAAATTGCTTAAGAGCATGTCTTCCCTGACCCTCAAGTAAGTGCACCTTGCTCCCGTGGGTCCGGAAGGATCGACGGTGAGAGAACAGGCTCCATTTTTACCACCACGACCCCGGCAAGAGGTACCAGAGTCAGGCCACCCACTGGTGTTCTGTGCGCACGTGGCGCATAACCTAGTCCTGTTTTAATTTTCAGGTATTAGTGAGACAGTTCCTAATATCCGTGGTGTAAGATGAGGAAAAGAAGCATGAAATAACCGGAGTAGCAGGAGCCGGGGAACATAGTGTACAAAGGAAAGATAAGGAAGAGCCACAGGAGAAACGGCAACCGTACCTGTAAAGCTGACTAACAACGGAATTAAAATAGTAAGTGAACCCACAAAAAAGGCTTTTTTCCTTCTAACTCCTGCCACAAAGAAGTTCCTGTTCTGTGGTTCCTGCAGCCCAACCGCAAGTCAGAATTGACTAACAGTATTTTTCAATCATTAAATGTTAACAGAAAGTGAAACATCTACAGAAAGGAACTCTAAAATCAGATGGCCTTCCCTGCATTATACTACACTCTATGCATCTGCGTTGAGGTTTGTTTTTTTTTTTTTCCCCAGTTGTCCCAACATGTTACCTGTCTCTTTCTAGTATGCTTTAGGCAAGGAAGAGTGGGATAATGCTGTTGCTTACACTAATTTAACTTCCCTACCAAACCACAACCCCACTCAGGACAGCAGTTGGACTCCTGTGTGGCGGATGCATGTCCAATACACTGTTACATTTAATTTCTTGATTGAAACAGGTTTTGAGCCAGGTCGTCATAGGCACTGTCCATGGTGTCATCATTGCTACTTTTTTAAGACACAAATCTGCATTTTTATAATGGGTGGTCTTCTCTGCCTTGCCTTCTGAATTTACGTAGGCAGCTCTGACCTCTTAAAAACAGCCCCATTATCAGTCTGGTGATTGAAGTGGAGAGTTCTCACTCCCCACACCTGTGTTGGTGTCCCACCAGATACAATTGCTTTTACACACGAGACCCCACGCGGCCTGGTCCGTGGCAGTCTAACAAGTTCACCTGTTCTTGCAGATTGTAAATGCCAGGCGTGCCTTCCGAGGATCGATGCCCTCCTCTGCTGTCACCGCTGGTGCTGCCGGTCACACATGCAGCAACTCTGCAGTGGAGGTATGCCAGCAATGTCACTGGGCCTGTTTGAATGAGCCACAGCCATTTAAACAGGATGCATTACAGTGTCTGTAATCACCTAGATAGGGTCTTTGCCCCTGGCGTGACGGGGCTTCTCTGAAGGACAGAAGAGCCCATTTGTGAATGCACAGGAGTGAGAGCTCCGACTGTTCTCTGCTCCTGGGGAACCGGGACAGGCCTCCACCAGAGCTGGCCCAGAGTCAGTCCAGCCCGGTTCTGGCTGGAGAACTCACGGTGAATCTTGTGAGTGCATGGCCCTTGAAGGAATACCCCAGAGAATGTTTTCTGAGATCTGCTAAGGCGTTGGCACCAAGCATCCCTCACATTTTCCTTCCTGTCCTTTCTGGGACAACAGAAACTGAAGTAGAAAAGCAACTGAGATATAAACATACAGATCTCGACCTTCCGGGGTGTAAAGCCAGCATAATGGTTCAGACAAGATGGAGTCCATTGTCCAAGGGGCGGGTGCTTAGTGTGCTATAAGGAAGCATCTGTCCTCGGTTAATGGCCCTGAGAGAACAGCAAACCTTTTCTTGTTAGTGCAAAGAGTTTTTGTTATTATATGTACTCACATTTTTTTCCTATTGGGGAATTGTTCTAGCAGGTGAAAGGAAACATCTCCCTTTTTGTAACATGTGCGGAGAGACCAAATTTCGCAACCCAATCCAAACCAAACTCTGCCATGGAACTTGCTAATGGGGTTTCCTGCAGGTGGTTGGTAGGTTTCGGTTTCTTGAACAAAGGAGGTGCCCTCCCAGAACAGGAGTCTTACTTTCTAATGACTCAGAAAGAAAATTATTTTGAAGCCTTTCTTTGGAAACCAACGCCAGCATTTACTTATCCTATTGATTGTAATCCTATGGAACAAATTATTTCAAATATTTGAACATATAGTGAACATAAGCTAATTAGCTGGGAATGTTCACAGTGAGTTGCTCCAAGTTACACTTTGATGGATGTCACAGCTTTTATGGGTCAGAACTCCACGGCCAGGATGAACATCTGGTAATAGTTGCATTTAAAATGTTCAAGTTATTGCAGGCATATGGAGTCTAAACCTAAAAAGACAGAGTCCCTCTCTCATCTGGTGGGTAAAGCAAATCCAAATATCCTTGATTAGGTGAAGCTTCCCCTTGCTCAAGTGTACTTGCTCATCACCGCCATTTTTGTCTGGTGATGTGAATTCCATCCCCTTAGCGAATAGCTTAAACCTTCCCCCAGGTGCACCCAAGGCAAAGGACTGATTCCTACTGTTCAGTGTCGCAATGGGCCCGCGGGGAATGGCCTTTGTTGAGTTACACAGTGGCCTGCTGCCCTTGGCCATGGTAAGGAGCCTCTTACACTCAGCCTTGAGAAATGGGGTGTTGAGTGTGCACTGGGATTGTTGGTCAGAGTTGTTTTTAAAATTCGGGTCCTTGTTTTAAGATGATCAGGGGCAGAAGTTTTCAGTCGGCTCAGGAGTGCAAAGCTAGGCTTCCCCACAGCAGCTGGCTGGTTTGCACCCTCTGGTTTCCACGGGTAACACAAGTGACTTCATTTCTTTAATGTGACTACTGATATGCTCAGCATGGCCTGCCTCTGTCCAGTAGTCAGAAACGCTTTTTTTGTACATTGTGTAATAGACTTGTATTTTACTACCTCGTTTTGCTAAGTCTGAGATGAATGAAATGAAAGGAAATTTCAAGACCAGAATATTAGGGTGATGATCAATTCTCTGTGCAATCAGATGCCCACTGATTTGCACAACTAGCTGTACAAAGCTGCAACACGTGTAGGGTCACACATGAGGATGCCTGCAGGGGCCAGGCCTGTGAGGCAAATGGGTGACAGAAAATAGACACTGTCACTGCCCAGAGCATGCCCTCCTACAGGCATTATATCAGTTATTGCCAACTCTGTACAGGCCAAATAATGCAGGTGACCTGAAGCCAGGTGGCTTGGGAGAATGTCTCCCAATCAACAAGGCGTGGTGCTGTAAGGTAAACACTGGGAAATAAGACTAAGGCAGCCGCTGCCCTCCAGGGGCTCACACTGTGGTGAAGGGAAAAGACTGGGAAACAAATAAGCACTAGAGAGTGGTCAGAGGGAGGGGGTCAGCTAGCAGCACCTGCAGGCCGGGCCTGGACAGGAGACCAGGTGGGGGGTGTGCAAGGCAAGTAGCAGGAACGTGACTCCATGCGGCCCAAGCGCTGAGCAGGGAGAGCCAGTGGGTGAACCCTCACTCACATCCCTGGGATGAGCAGGCACCAGCCAGCAGGAGAAGGGCAGCTGGAAGAGTGAAGCCAGACCTGTTTAGCAGTGTTTCTACCAATTGTTTACTCAAGTAATCAGACAATTAAAATACAGATGCTTAGGCAGAAATAATAACACTCCGGATGGAAGCCATGAACTGACTTCGGACTTCTAGACTTCGGACTTCTAGTCTCCAGACTATCTGTGGAACTGCCGGGGACATGTAATTCCAATAAGTTTTAATTCTTCCAGCCTCCAATTACTGGCTGTAATGTGACCTACAAAGAAAGTACAGAATCACTAATTAAGGGATTGAAAAGTAAGCAGGAAGCACATGAGGCTTTATTAAGTGCATAATAATAATATTTTCAAGCTGGCTTGCTATACAATTACCTGTTTTATAGATTTTTTTAGGTCCATCTTTATAATGACTGTTGTTGATGCTTCCTAAGAAAATGTGGGCCTAAAATAAAAATGCTAGTAAGAAACATGACTTTAAAATGAAGTGACTTTCTTAATCTCCAGTATTCAGGTGCTCAATATTTTTTTTCTCATTAGGAAACACCTAACTGTACTGAAAATTATATATTCTATAAAGGGCTTATTCTTTTAAAAAATTGATTAGTTTGAATTTCCTATTAGCTTGATTTTTAAAATAAAACATGGGAAGGACAAAAGATATTTTAGATCATTTAAAAAGAAGGAAGTCTCTCAGCCCATTCTCCCAACGGCAGACATAGGGGGACATGGTCTCGATCTTCTATGATCTTCGCACCCACCCTCAGAGTGGCTTGTGAGCTGGCTCCTTCCTCCTGGTGGTGTTTGGTGACTGTGATGAATCTGCAAAATGCAGCTCTGTTGTAGGTACCTCTCATTCGAAAATCCCAGCCTTCTATTGCAAGTGGGGTATGTGTCGCCATACACTTCGTTGGTAACACATGCTGAGGGATTCAAAAAAACTAACCCAGGAATCCAAGTTACTGATGTAGGAGATGAAAACATTTCGTGGCTTTGTGGCTTCATGCCTTAAAGCCTCATTTCTTATACACTTTATCTCAGGGGTGTCAAACTCATTGTCACCGCGGGCCACATCAGCCTCGCAGTTGCCTTCAAAGGGCCCAGTGTAACGTTAGGACTGTATACATATAACCACTCCTTAACTAGGGGCAAGGAGCTCTGCGCTGCCGCCAGGTAGAAACAAGGTGCCGGGCCGGATTCAGCCCACGGGCCTTGTGTTTGCCACCTGTGCTCTAGCTGTCTCCCCAAGTAATAAAAACTAATCTTCTTGAGAATCAGACAAATCCCAACACCTTGTTACTTCACGTGAACAGACTATTTTAGCATAGTATTCGGTTGGCCAAAAAGTCTGTTTAGTTGTTTCTGTAAAATAAAAGACACATGTTTCATTTTCACCAATAACTTTATTGATTTGGATATTTTGAGTATGTCAGCTGTCTCCTGCTATTGGCTGTTAGTGGGTAGGGGCCAGAGCTGCTGCTAAACACTTTCCAGTGCATGAGACAGCCCCGCAGCAGAGATTTATTTGGCCAAAAAGTCAGTAGTCCCAAGAAACTTTGCAAACCACTTTTGACATGTTCTATCAGTCACAGCACCTTCTCCATACACCACACAAATTTTCTTTTGCATTTCATTTGTTTTGTATTTTTCTTGAAATAATAAAGCATAATACACCAAAAATGGTGCATACCTTCTGCCTTCAATATTAAAATGGCTGCACAAAAATGCACCAATTTGATAGGTTTTTTTTTAAATGCATGCTGATAGGACAGCTGTCACAGTACAATCTAATAATAATTGTTTTGAAGTTAAGAACAACTAAGCACTCCTAGAGCCATCATATGGAAAAAACGCAACAGACTTTTTTCCTACCCCACAACATGAACTTCAGTTTTGTTAAATAAAGCCTGAGAACTGGGCCTCAGAAGGAGCAGGCTCAGAGGGCCAGCGTTTACAACGCTAGGAGGGACGCGGCCCTCTTGCCTGCTCAGATTTCACGTGGCTCTGAAGTGCGCATTGTAGCAAGGCGTGCTTCAGGAGGCCGTGTCCCCAGCAAGCTGGAAACTTCCACGGTCACTTCATGATGAGACCTGGCAGGAGAATTAGCAGCACCACGAAAAGTGTGACTGCACATCTAAAGGGTGGAAATTAAAAATGAAAAGGCAAGGGATCAATGTACAGTGTCGGGGAGTGAGCTGGCATTTAAATTGGCCAGGTAAAACGAGACCATCAGGGTGAGAGAAGCAGAACATCTGAGGGTAAGGAAGTCAGGTGGGCCTAATTGTAATCAAAGAGCGGACCCATGTAGCCCTAAGACAGGAACCTGGGTTTTTTCTTTTTTGTGATCACACCTCTCTCAAGACGGAGCTACCGCTGCAGTGTTGGGAAACACAGTAGTGCGTGTCTTAATGAAGACTGACTTTTAGGTGACGCTTCACTTTACATAGGCCTTTGGGGAGAGCACGAGCGTTTGGGCCATTTGGGTGGTTAGCAGGTTTGCTTTGAGGGTCCCTACTGCTAATGATGACCCTCCTCAGCTTCCCTTAAATGGCAAAGATTGCTTCTGGCTGTGTAGCCACCGAGTAGCTGCCTTTCCTCCCAAGCAAAGACGTTCTGGGCCTTGATGGATCAGACCACAGCTGCCTCCCACGGGAAAATGCTCCTGACATCACACTGAACTGTGACCCTTACCTGCAGCTCTAGGGAGCCCAGTGTCTTAGCCTAACTTCATCGCAACTTGCAAATTTCTTCCCTCCATCTGCCCACGTGTATGAAATCCAGTGTCAGTCCGATGACCATTCACTGCACATCCTCTGGCAGGGCAGCCATAAGGAATCCAAAGATGAATGAAATAATATGCATGTTCTTATCAAGGGGTAATTTTCTAAGAGTGGCCAAATCACGGCCACCACGCAGATGTAAAATGAACACGCAGCAGAGATTTTATTTTATTTGTTATTAATGAGGGGACCTTACCAAGACATTACACCCAGTTCAATGAGAGAAGCAAAAAAGAATCACCCCACAGATGTATGTGGATTTGGGTTCACCAACTGGTCCCCACCCATGGAGGACAAGGGCAGACCGAAGACAGAGGCAGGCCCCTTGAGACTGGTGGGTGGCAGATTTAACAAGGGAGCTCCGCACCTGCCCGCCAGAGTCTTCAGAGCTTTTCTGAAGGCCCCAGTGGGATTCAGCAGCCACATACTGTTCTTAGGGCCTCAGCAACCCGTTCCTCTCTCAAGGCTGCATCCTTGGAAATGACTCCCGGGGTGGGAGCAGTGGGCAGAAGGTACACACCAAGGACAGGGGAGCGGGGAGGAGTCTCTGGTGGCCTGGGTCCAGCTCGGGTGTCCACTGGTGGATTCTCTTCAATGACTCTCTGCTCTGAGGCAACGGGGTAAAAGAAGGTTAAAATGAACACGCAAGTGGCTGCAAAATTGCCCTGGCCAACGGTGGGGGGTGGGGGGGGGAACTTGCTCCGTTTGCATCATAGACACAGGAAGGACTTGGCACTACTATTACTCATCTAAAAGTTGCCAAGTTATAGTTCAAGGGCAAAGAAAGGCTAAAATCAGACCGTCTGGAAGGTTCTGTCATAGACAACGCACAGTTTTCCACGGAAGCACGTATTTGTCGCTGCACCTTAATGAGAAGAGAGATTAACACTTAGCAAGCACCTATGAGCTGTCACAGTGCAAAACGCCGTGAAATCCTCCTGTCCACCTTGGATGATTAGTTATTAGTGCCTAATACTATCATTAAAACATACCTTAGAGAAATGCTCTGGGTCTCTGCTACTAAATTGGAAAGCTGGGAATTATTTCTATTTGTATTTAATGATGCCAAAGGCTACTCCTCAACCTGGAAAATACTGCCTCCTCCAAGGAAGTTAGGGTCCAATGAAGAGGATGGATCATACTCCAATTTTCTGTGGGCCTTTCCCCTAGGCTCCCCACTGGAAAAGTCTGAAAATACTGTGGTGCATTTGTCACAATTAAGAAAATGGCGTCGGTATTTACTGTCACCTAAATTCATCAGTTTTTTCCATTAATGGGCTCTTTTCTTCCAAGACCCACACCAGAGCACCACATGGCATTGCTGTTCCGTCTCTCCCATCTCCTGTGGTCTGTGGCAGTTTTCTTCTTATTCGTGACCTTGACAGCTTTTAAGGAGTCCCGGCCAGGTGCACTGTACAATGGCCTGCTGTTTTTCTTTTGATTAGAAGGGGGTGTCGTTTTCTTAAGAAAGGCACATCTAGGTGAAGTGCCTTTATTTTCACATCCAGCTGGGAGGGTGTACAGGGTACAGGACCCCCACAGTTATCAGCAGTGCTGTTAACCATCACACTAGAATTTGTCAGCATTTTTGAGATTAAATGTTGGTTCTTGCCTGGGCATTTCATCTCGAGTACGGGGTGCACGGGATTCAGAAGGCAGGTACGGGCCTCTGTCCTACACGCTGGCTGTTTGCTCTTTCCATGAGTCAGTGGCCTGGCGTGCCCGGAGCTGGTACCCTCCCCCGGAACAGGAATGAGCAAGAAAAACCGCAGGCCCTGGTGGAGGGTGCTTGCCTTCTCTCCGCACAAGCCAGAGCAGGGGGAGCAGGGGGAGACGCCAGGGTTTCCAGTAATTTGCAGGGCAACTCTGCAAAGTCATGCCTCACCCCTCCTCCAGCAAGCCCTGTAAGCTGAGAGTGCGTCCTGGGCACACTCAAGGCCACTGCCGTGACCTCAGGGGACAAGGTAAGTTTCGAAATGAAGGACACCCAGCTGTGTGTCAGACTGCCCCCCTCCCAGTCCTTTCACACACAACTAGGTGTACGGATCTGTTCCATAGGAGACGGTTGCCCTCTTCTTCAAGGATTAAAAAACCCCATCTCAGACCCTCCTACATAACTTCATGTAAGCAAGGTGCTTTCTAAAACACGGCCTGTACCATGCACTAAAAACAATGTCTCTTTCTTTTTAAGGTGTTTTTTCTTCAGGTAGAGGCAGTTTTTCTTTACAAAGAGGACATATTGTAAGGAATTCAATCTCTGCGTGCATGGACCGTTTCATATTTTTTAAAAACTGACTCATTTCAGGTGAGTTTGAGAGAAGATACAGAACAAAGCAAAGGGGATTTTTTTTGTTCGCTTCTTGTATGGGTGGTTTAAAATAGGCTGTGCCCACTTCCTCTTAGGGGAAATACTAAGAGAGGCTGGGTGCCCAGGGGATACGCTTAAATAAATAAAGTTTGGCCTCAGACCACTGTCTCCTAATCCAGCTTCTCACAGGCTGAACCTTGGGACAGAGGGGGCCGTGGATCATGCAAAAGACAGGACTTGCTGCCTGAAATTACAGCTTCACTAAAGGACACGCTCCCAGTGCTATCTGCACATAGGCTTTTGCTGTGTTTTGGATGTTCATTGGCGATTAGGAAGACTAGCATAGATCGGGCCATTTAAGTAAATCTTAAAAGCGAGAACTTTTAGTCTATTAAGTGGGTGAATTCCGTTTCAGGTAAAAAGACGCAGAAGGAACTGTCAAAGCACTCTCGCAGAGCGTGGTGAACTTGAAAGTCGCTTTCATTGGGTTCGAGTGTATTAAATGTGTTAGTATTCAAAATAGATCCTACATTAGTACAGGTCGTAACTCTTACTTAAAAAAAATAAGCTATAAATCTTACCAGAATTCACCAACTTAGTGCTTCCTTAGAAGGAATGTTTCTAACTACTGGATTGGCCAAAAACTCTGTTATGTTTGTTCCGTACAATGGCTGTAGTAGTGCTTAGCTGTCTTTAACTTCATTCAAAACGATTGTTAGATTGTGACAGCTGTCTTATCAGCATGCATTTTTAAAAAAAACCTCCTCAAAATTGGTGAATTTTTGTGCAGCCATTTTAATATTGAAGATAGAAGAAGATACACAACATCTTTGGCATATTAGGTTTTATTATTTCAGAGAAAGGTAAAAACACAATGGAAGCGCAAAAAAAGATTTCTGCAGCGTATGGAGAAGGTGCTGTGACTGATTGAACACGTCAAAAGTGATTTGCAAAGTTTCTTGGCACTATTGACATATTGACCAAATAATTCTCAGCTGCGGGGCTGTCTCATGCACTGGAAGATGTTTAGCAGCACCCCTGGCCTCGACCCACTAGCAGCCAATAGCGGGGGACAGCAACATGCTCAAAATATCCAAATCAATAAAGTTATTGGTGAAAATAAACTATGTATCTTATTTTACAGAAAAAAACATAATGGACTTTTTGGCCAACCTAATAAAAATGTATTTGTTTTTAGTAGGTCAGCGCCACTCGGGTGACCTGTTTCTTCTTGCATGAGGTTTATTAGTTTGTCTTTCAAGTAATTTGTCCAAATAATCTACGGTGTTAAATTTATTGGCATAGAGTTAGTTATAAAATTCCCTGATATCCACTAATATCCGTAGCATTCGTGGTGAAGTAATCTGTCATTAGCATTTGGGTCTTTACTCTTTTTATTCCACATCACCTGTTTTATGAACATTACATATAATTAATTTTCTCAATTTTAATTTTATTTATTTTCTCTATTATTTCCTCTGCTGTTTCATTGATTTCTGCCTCGATCTCTGTATTCGCTCTCTTCTACTTATTTTGGTTTAAATGTGCTCTTTCTTTTTCTAGAATTTTAAGGAAGAAACTTCGGTTTCAGACTTGAGAAATTCTGTTTAATAGGATCGTTTAGTACTATAAACACAACTCCAGTTGTTCCACAGTTTGACAAATTTTAACATGTGTTTTTATTTTCTTTTTCCATTCAAAATATTTCTTAATTCTCTGTTTGATTGCTTCTTCGACATATGGATCACTCGGATGTGTGTTATTTAGTTTCCATATTTTAGGAATTTTCAAGAGACCTTTCTGTTATTGAATTCTAATTTAATTCTAAATTTCTCATAGAACATACATACCTTGCATGATTTGAATTTTCCACTGTGTTAAGACTCTTCTGGCCCAAGTTATTTCTTTATAAAAAGATCCCTGTGTGGTTGAAAAGAATGGGTTTTCCTATACATGTTGATAATTTTGTTCAACTTTCCTGTGTCCTTGTTGACACTATGTCTGCTTATCCCACCAATTATTGCAGGAGGGGTACAGACATCTCTGAAAATATTTGTGGATTTGTCTGTCTTCTTGTTTCAATACCTTTTGCTTCATGAATTTGAAAGCTCTGTTGGTGCACAAACATTTGGGATTGTTTGGTCCTGTTGGTTGACATTTTGGTTTTTTTTATTTATCAAACATTTTTTATTGTTTTCCATTACCATTTATCCCCCTTATACCCTCCACCACCCTCCCCCGACAATCACCGCCCTGTTGTCTGTGGGTCCCTTTTCTTTTTTGCTCAGTCCCCTCTCCCCACAGCTGTGTGCTTGCTCTCTGTCTGTGAGTCAGTCTCTATTTCGCTTGTTAGTTCAGTTTGTACATTAAATCCCATATATGAATGAAATCATATGGTATTTGTCTTTCTCTAAGTGGCTTATTTCACTGAGCATAATGTTCTCCAGGTCCATAAGTGCTGTTGCAAAGGGTAAAACTTTCTTTTTACAGCAGGGTAGTATTGCCCCGTGTAAATGTACCGCAGTTGTTTCATCCACACACCCACTGATGGGTGCTGGGCAGCTTCCAAATCTCGGCTATTGTAAATAGCGCTGCAATGAACATAGTGATTCTTCTTCCGAAATTCCCAGAAGGAACATAGGGGTGCTTATCTCCTTTCAAATCTGTGTTTTGGGTGTCTTTGGATAAATTCCCAGAAGTGGAATCACTGGGTCAAAAGGCAGGCCTAGTTTTCATTGATGAGGTGTCTCCATACTGCTTCCCACCCCGGCTGCACCAGTCTGCATTCCCACCAACAGTGCAAAAGGGTTCCCTTTTCTCCCCAACCTTTCCAACACTTGTTGTTTTTTTGATCTGTTGATGATAGCCATTCTGGCCAGGGTGAGGTGATACCTCATTGTGGTTTTAATTTGCATCTCTCCGATGATTAATGACATCCAGCATCTTTCTGCACATTTGTGGGCCATCTGTACGTGCTCTTGGGAGAAGTGTCTATTTAGGTCCTTCACCCATTTTTTTAGTTGGGTTGTTTTTGGTGTAAAGTTTGATAAATTCTTTATAAATTTTGGTTATTAACCACTTATTAGATGTATCAGCGAATAGGTTCTGCCATTTAGAGGGTTGTCTTTATTTTGTCAATGGTTTCCTTTGCTGTGCAAAACCTTTTTATTTTGGTGTAGTCCCATTTGTTTATTTTTTTATTTGTTTGTTTCTCTTGCCTGAGGAGATAGATCAGAAAAAATATTGCCACGAGTAATGCCTGTGATTTTACTGCGTATGTTTTGTTCGAGGATTTTTATGGTTTCAAGTCTGACATTTAAGTCTTTAATCCATTTTGAATTTATTCGTGTGTGTGTTGTAAGAAAGTGGCCTAGTTTCATTTTTCTGCACATACCTGTTCAGTTTTTCCCAACACCATTTATTGAACAAACTGTATTTAGTTCATTGTATTTGCTTGCTTCCTCTGTCAAATATTAGCTGACTATAAAGGCGTGTGTTCATTTCTGGGTTCTCTGTTCTGTTCCATTGATCTATGTATCTGTTTTTATACTAGTACCAGGCTGATCTGATTACTATGGCCTTAGTGTAGTTTGATATTAGGTAGCATGATCCCCCCAACTTTGTTCTTCTTTCTCAAGATCACTGTTGCTATTTGGGGTCTTTTGTGGTTCCATATAAATTTTTGAAATATTTGAATTCTGTGAAGTAAGTCATTGGTGTCTTGTTAGGAATTGCATTGAATCTATAGATTGTTTTGGTAGTATGGACATTTTAATGATGTTAATTCTTCCTATCCATGAACACGGTATGTGCTTCCACTTATTTGTATCTTCCTCAGTTTCTTTCTTCAGTGTCTTATAATTTTCCAAGTACAAGTTTTTCACATCCTTGGTTCAATTTATTCCTAGGTATTCTTTTTGAAGCAATTTTGAATAGGATTGTTTCCTTAATTTCCCTTTCTGATAGTTCATTATTGGCATATAAAAGTGCAACTGATTTCTGGATATTAATTTTGTATCCTGCTACTTTGCTGAATTCATTGACCAATTCCAGTAGTTTGTTGGTGGTATCTTTAGGGTTCTCTGTGTATAGTATCATGTCATCTGCAAATAATGAGTTTTACTTCTTCCTGTTGGATGTCTTTTATTTTTTCTTGTCTGATTGCTGTGTCTAGGACTTCAGAACTATTTGAATAAGAGAGGTAAAAGCAGATACCCCTGTTTTTTTCCTGACCTTAAAAGGGAATGCTTGTAGTTTTTGCCTGTTGAATATGATGCTGGAAGTGGGTTTGTCCTATACGGCCCTAATTATGTTGTGATATGTTTTCTCTGTTCCCACTTTGCTGAGCATTTTGATCATAAATGGGTGCTGGATTTTATCAAATGCTTTTCCTGCATCTATTGATTTGATCATGTGGTTTTTATCCTTCGTTTTCTTTATGTGGTGTATCACTTGTATTGATTTGCTAATGTTGTCACTACCTGGCATCACCGAATACATCCCACTTGATCACGGTGTATGGTCTTTTTGATGCATTGCTGTACTTGCTTTGCTAATATTTTGTTGAGGATGTTAGCATCTATGTTCATCAGGGACACTGGCCTATAATTTTCTTTGTTGTGCTGTCCTTATCTGGTTTTGGAATTAGGATGATGCTGGCCTCATGAAATGAGCTTGGGAGTCTTCCCTCCTCTGGAATTTTTTGGAATCCTTTGAGAAGGTGTTAGTTCTTCTCAGAATGTATGATAAAATTCACCTGTGAGGCCCTCCAGTCCAGGAGTTTGGTTTGTTGGGAATTTTTTGATTACTGCTTCGATTTCACTAGGTGTAATCTGTCTATTCAGAGTCTCTGATTCTTCCTGATTTAGTTTTAGAAGATCATATGTTTCTAGGAATTTATCCATTTCATCCAGGTTGTCCAATTCATTGGCGTATAGTTCATAATATTTTCTTACAATCCTTTTATTTCTTTGGTGTCAGTTTTTATTTCTCCTTCA